CATCATAACGTCACCGCATTTTTAAAAATTATCTATAACACGTCTATATATGAACATCTTCACCCCTTAAGAATTCGTTAAAGAGCCATTTTCGCTTGAAATTATAGTAAGCTAAATTTTCACGGTTTTTTCAACATATTAGGCAAGATTAGGAGTCCGTGAAAAAAAAAACCTTAAGAAAGTCCTTTGTTTACCCATGGAGATAGACCCAGTGTACCGTTATGTATAACCAATAATAATCTTCTGTGGCCAGGATTATTAAAAATCCGTGAAAATACCCTTACAGGATTAGTCCTATATAAGCCCCATGTAAATGTCCGTGAAACATCTCTTAAAGATTCTTTTCACGGAGAAATGGACTTTTAATGAAAATTGAAGGGATCAGATGTTCATAGTATGCGCAAAATCAACCCAATCTGATTTATAGTTCTCTAGATACAGGTCATTGAATAATGCGCCTTTAAGATGACGCCACACGACCCACCATGACGTCACGATGACGTCACTCTTCTATATGGGTCTTAGTTATGAGGTATTTGTCTATATTAAGTTTAGTTGTGATGTGACTTTATATGTCTAAAGTGCCGGCAGGCACTTTAACAGGTTCAAAGTCTATGGGATTTTAGGTGGAACAAAAAAAAATGAAGTAAGAAAAAAAAAAAACAAGTAACGAAAACAAGAAGTAACGAAAACAAGAGCTGTTTTTTTTAGCCTACTGCCTACATATTTTGGTTTAGATTGAATTTGAAAGTTATCAGTAACATCGTTGATATAATCCATAGGCTTTTAACTCTTTATGCTTTTGTCAGCTAAAATAATGTCCATATATCACCGTCGTATTTGGGGTATGTAGGGCCAAATGTTGTCTGCAGTCATTTTTGTTTAGCCCAACTTCGTGGGTTTTTTCTGGTTTGAACTGTTTAACATAATTTTATTTGAAGATTTTTCTCAGAATTTGGAGCGACAGTGTCGGTTCAGTTTTAGAGAACCGTCGTTCAACGTCAGAATGATCCAAATTAGATTTCTTTTTGTGAAAGTTGCCGAGGGCATAATTTATCGTTTTTATATTCAAACACTAATTTGGTACAGTTATTCTACGTGTATGTTATTCATTTAACATTTAATCAACATTTGACACCAAATATATACTGTTAAAGGGCGCTGAACCTATTTTTAACTGATCTACATCATTAGCTGTTACGGCTACTTAGCCGAAACAACTCTTTTTTTTGGTTAACATTTTGTTTTTCTCTCCTTTTTCCCCCAGACTTTTCTCCATAGGGGTTGTACACGTTTTCCTTCCACTAGTACACTTTGGCTATTTTCTAAGGCATATATCTAAAGAACCATAGGTTCCATTTAGTTGTAACTTGATATATACCTGTACTAAGATGTGTTAAAGATATAAATTTAAGTGACGTCATTATGACGTCATCATATGTTTTGTGACGTCACCTTAAAGGGACACTTTTTCCCTACGTCCGAATTGGTTGTTTACCTGATATGTACCAATATCGGGAAGTGTTATAGATGAAAATTCAAGTGAAGTCATCCCATTTCATATGACGTCACATGAAATGGCATTTTTCTAGTGCCCATATCTAAATCTATACGTTCTATTTGGTTGTAATTTGTACCTATGCCGGGATGTGTAGATGAAAATTCAAGTGACGTCATTATGATGTCATCACATGTCATGTGATGTCACATTAAAGGGGCATTTTTTTACGGCCTAGGCCTATATCAATAAATGGACGTTACGTCCGATATGGTTGTAACTTGGTAAGTTGGTAGTACTTAGACTGGGATGTGTTATAGATGAAATTTGAAGTGACGTCATCATGTCGTCATCACTTGTCACAGAGTCATTTCCAACAGCCGAAACAGCTAGTGTTTGTCTAGAATACAATTTGTTGAATTTTTTTCTTATCTAAACCCTTTATTTTATTTCAATGTTTTTGTTTTTGTTTTTGTTTTGCTACCAATGTTTGAATCGGTTGCTATGGCAATCGTCGACATACCAAAGAAATGGTTATGGTAACACATTAAAATCTTAGTCATAGTAATTTTATGGTATTGTTATGCCGTTTGGTAAAAGCGCTCCAAAGAATACATTATGTGTCATGATAGGGTTAAATATTATCTTACTCAATATTCTATTGAATGTTATATATAGAATTACAAAATGTACTTTTATTCGACCTCTCATTTTCCCCACTGAAATTCTAGGTGATCTGTTTGTCATAAAATTACCCGGTCATGAGACCATCGTTTCTTTGCATGGGGAGCAGACAGGTGGTCCTATGTGGCTTAAGGAAGAGGTATCGTTAATGAGACAGACTTCAAGCTTCGGAATAGGAATTCAGGCGTTCCGTTATGGTTCCTTATCGGATATCGCAATCGATGACGTGGCAATAACTACTTACATAGGTTTGTGTTTGTTTAATTTCCTTGCATAGAGATTGTATTAAATTTGAACATATTTGTTTTTGAATGTTATTACAGATTTGCATTTTTGTTGTGGTCTGGATTCCAATTGCTGCAGCTCGGGTTTCAACGAGATTTGTGTCGAACAGTCAGGCACCAGTTTTTGATAATCAACAATCAAGTTATCAGCAAGCATGAAATGAAGAGGACATTATTAACGTTATCAACCCCAGGTCACATTTGATCGTTTTTGAAAAAAAAAAATCGTTACAATATGTGATATATCCTCAACAAATCCTCATTATAATGGTCGTGCTCCACTACACTATCAGCTCCCTTTCATTAGTAATTTTGACTAAATTTATTGAAACCGTTTTTATTGTTAATCAGTTACTATTCAGTCACAACACCATTCATTAAGATATGCTAATTTGGGTTATGTCCGTCTCAAGCAAAGTGTGCCGTCTTCAATGCATGTGGAATTTATATTCACACACATTTAAAGCTATAGTCCATCATTTGTAATAAGTGCATTTTGTTCGTTTGAAGCAACAAAAGTGTTCAAAATCCAATGAAGGATACTGAACAACTTACTTGATGAAGTTTCAGCTCAGCTTCAGCTCCATATTCCGAGAAAAACAGCATTCTAGGATCTGAATTTAAAATCAAAAGTTGCTAAATCATGTTTCGAATTGTTTTGAATCGCAGCTTTACGCGATGTTGCGCACTGATCCAACGAATTATAGCAACCGCGCGCACCTGTGCGTCGTTCCAATGCTTGTGCGCGCTGCGCCGAATAACAAAACGAACAACTAATTTAAATTTTCCTACGGTGCTTCTTAAGAAGCACCGTTGGAAATGCCTTCGTTCGTTGATATCTTCAAAATGAGAGCTTGCCAGAAAGGATAATTTCACAGGGAGTTTAGTCCCCTTACTTTCTTTCAACCAGTATGTTTTTCAAAAATAATTACGCCGGTTACTTTTTTTGATAGCTGCAAATGATGGACTCGGGCTTTAAAGCTATAGTCCATCATTTGCAGCCATCCGAAAAGTAACTGGCGTAATTATTGCTGAAAAACATACTTGGTTGAAAGATAGTAAGTGGACTAAACTCCCTGTGAATTTTGCTGGCAAGCTGTCGTTTTGAAGTAATCAACGAAAGAAGGCCTTTCCAAAATTTCAATTAGTAGTTCGTTTTGTTATTCGGCGAAGCGCGCGCAAGCATTGGCACGACGCACACGCGAGTGCGGTTGCTATAATTCGTCGGATCAGTGCGCAACATCGCGTATAGCTACAACTGGCTCAGTCAGAACGTGTCTCGGACGCTGAATTCAGGCCCAGGCAATTCATAACATGATTCAGCAACTTTTGATTTGAAATTGAGATCCTAGAATGCTGTTTTTCTCGGAATATACAGCTGAAGCTGAGCTGAAACTTCATCAGGTTAGTTGTTCAGTATCCTTCATTAGATTTTGAACGCTTTTGTTGCTTCAAATGAACAAAATGCACAAATTACAAATGATGGACTATTTCTTGAAACAAAATATTATTTATTAGGTTAGTTATCCATCAAGCGCGAGTGGAACACGGAATAATGAAGTGTGCCTGTGTCCCTTATACCAAGATGTACTGGTTTCGGTATTAGGTGTAGCCCGGGAGGCGATAACATAAACTCCACCAGCTAGTGTCAACCACGATTAAGAATGCAAAATGGCCGAAGGTCAGGGCTTCAGATTCCACTTGATCTTTAATGCGCGGTGAACTGTTAACAAGATAAAAACGATACAAAACTACTAAATATCTGGCAAAAGTCCAAAACATGAACAGGTTCGAGGAAAATACTGTAAAGTTCGGTCTACATGAAGTAAACAGAGATAAACTGGGAAAGTCAATCTAAAAAACACTCAAATAGTGAATACGGGCTGTAATCCCCACTTCACAGTAACGTTCAGCAACTTCTCATTCTAAGGTTAAATGTAACGATAGCTTAACATAAAAAAAACCCTATCAATGTGGTAGCGAAATATAAGTAAATTATTTCAGGCACAAGAAAATCTAATGACTTATTAATCATACAAAGACTCTAGGTGTCTATAATATCACTTGAAGTATCCATGAGTAGTCAAAAGTTCTAAATACTTGAGTGAATTAAGGCAAAATTACATGTACGTATGTAATCAAAGAAAGTCAGATCTCTTGGCTCAAAAAATCACTAGAAAATCACTTACATTACTGTGGTTCTTGAGAGTCAAATTAAGAGGCTTAAAAGTACATCTCAGGAGGGTCTAACTTCTCAAAGGTTGTAAAAACTATCAGCTGTAGGTCTTAAAATCTAGAAAATGCTTGAACTAAAACAAAGGTGTCGGGAATGCAAGCAGCATGGTATTTGATCTGGCTGTTCCTATGTAAGTCGAACAGCGCCCTCAAGTGATGGGACTGGAGGAAAGGGCGCCATCGTGTGGCTGGGGTGTATAAGGGAACAATGACCTTCACACTCCCCGTCTAAAATTGAACCTAGAGAAACTTTTACTGAATATGTAATCAAGGATGTAATTGTTCGTGTACAGTCTGTCTCACTCGGTTGTAGAGCACTGTGTTGAGTCGTGACCCTTCTCAAGGAGCACAAGCTCCGAGATAGGTCTCAAGTAGGTTCTGCGCGTCCCGTCAGAGCAGACAATGATGTCGACCTTGCGAACTCTGCCGTCATCACTGGGGTACGTCTTCGTGACTCTGGCAAGGGGCCAGTTGTTCCTCCGGAGCTCCTTATCTCGGACCAGAACTACGTCTCCTTCGCGGATATTGGGCTGCGTACTGTTCCACTTTGTCCTGGGCTGCAAACTCTGGAGGTACTCCTTCTGCCATCGAAGCCAAAATTGTTCTGCAAGATACTGGGCACGACGCCAATGTTGTCTGGCATAGAGATCTTCTTTGACGAAGTCACCTGGAGGTGCCTGAAGTGTCTGAGTCTTCAGGGTGAGGAGCGTGGCAGGAGTGAGTGGTCGGGGGTCATTGGCATCTGAGGAGACTGTAGTGATAGGTCTCGAGTTGACGATAGCACATGCTTCCGCCATAAAAGTCACCAGTACGTCATGGGTTAGCTGATGCTTTCCTAGTTGGGCAAACATTGATTCCAGGACACGTCGGATGATTCCTATTGGCCGCTCCCAAACTCCTCCAAAGTGCGAGGCGTGTGGGGGGTTGAACACCCACTCGCAACTCCTGGTAGTCAAGTACCTCCCAACTTGTTCGTGGTTCAGCTCGCCCTTGGCGCCTACGAAGTTTGTTCCTCTATCGCATCTGATTTTGGCGACCGGTCCACGAACTGCAACAAATCTTCGAAGTGCACAGATGAAGGCTGAGGTGTCCATGGAGTCAATGACCTCAACGTGGACAGCTCTAGTGGAGAGGCACGTAAAGATTACAGCCCATCGTTTGGAATCTGCTGAGCCGCCTCTGGTTTTTCTCGTCACAATGGTCCAGGGTCCGAATACATCTGTTCCAACATTGGTAAAAGGGGGCGTTGGCTGGAGCCGGTCTTGAGGTAGGTCGGCCATGACTTGAGTGAGAAACTTGCCTCTTAGCTTCGCACAGATGGTGCACTGGTTGATGACACTTCTGACAAGATCATGAGCGCCGATGACCCAGAAGCCTCCAGCTCGAATAGCTGCGAAGGTGAAATGCCTTCCTTGGTGTTTGACCTCTTGATGAAAGTGTTTCACAATGAGTTTGGAAACATGGCTGTTCTTGGGAAGGAGAACCTGATGACGTCCCCCTAGATCGAGGTCGGCTCTTCGCAGTCTTCCTCCGACTCTGATGAGTCCATCGTTGTCAATGAAGGGGCTTAGCTGGTACATGGGGCTTTTCTTCTTTATGGCATTTGTCGAAGCTTGCTCCAGATCACTGTTGGTGATGAGGCTGGCCAGTTCCTCTCCAAAGTACTCTTTCTGTACTGCATGGAAGATCACACGATCTGCTTTCTGCAACTCTGCAACAGATGCTCGTCTGCGGGGTTTGTCAGCTTGCCGGTTGTCGTCACTGATCCCTTCCCGTTTCGACTTGAAGGTTTTAACTGCAACAATGAGGGTTGTCACTGCACGTCTGAGGGATGCCCAGGTAGAAAAGCGTGAGAACCTATTACATCCCAATTGCGATCCCTGGGCCATGGTGACTGGACTCTTGGGTTGGTCACTGACGTTCGTGTGGTTGACGCGCGTTTCTCTCCGCACTTCGGGGTCGTCATCGTCAAGTGGAATTTCATGACTGGCAGATGCTTCGGTCTGCGTTGGAGAGGGGTCTTGCTGCCAGAGGAAGTCTGGTCCTCTAAACCAAGTCGAGGTGCTAAGTTGGTTAGCAGGGACTGAGCGAGATGCCAGGTCCGCAGGATTCTCGTCTGTTGGCACGTGGTGCCACTGGTTGGGTGTTGACACATTGTGTATTTTATGCACTCTATTTGCCACATACACATGGAAACGTCTAGATCGGTTGGAAATGTAGCCAAGGACTACCTTACTATCGGTGTAGTAGGTGGTACTGTCGATAGCTGCTCGTGCTCTGATCTCTGGCTCAACAGTCTGCACCAGTGTAGTTGCCAGCACTGCCCCGCACAGCTCCAGTCGTGGTATGGATACCGCATGGGGAGGTGTGACTTTCGCCTTAGCCAGAAGGAAGGACACATGTGACTGGTTGTTTTCGTTGACAAGTCTCAAGTAGGCGACCGCTGCTTTTGCTAGATCACTAGCATCAGAGAAGACATGAATTTCTCGTCTGTTGACATGGCCGAAGTCTGTAGGATGATAACAGCGGGGAACATGGATGTCTTGAAGGTTGAGTAGAGAATTGCGCCAGCGGGTCCATCTTGGGAGACAGCTCTGAGGCAGTGGACGGTCCCAAAGATCCTGAGGCGAGTTTTGCTCCTTTTTTGAGGCCGCCATAAGCTCTCGTAGGATGAATTTCCCTTCAATGGTGACTGGTGCTGCTAGACCCAGCGGATCATAGATGGAGCTTGCCACCGAAAGGACTCCCCGCCGTGAGAAGGGTTTGTCTTGCAGGTCAACTTGGAACGTGAGGGTGTCTCGCTCAAGGGACCAGTACACTCCTAGGGATCGTTGGGTAGGTAGTTCATCTTGGCAGAGATCTATGCACTTCAGGTTCTTGGATCTCTCTTCCTTGGGAAGAGCGTTCATGACTTCCTTGCTGTTGGAGCCAATTTTATGGAAGTGCAAGTTCTTGGTGGCCAGGGCATCTCTACAACGTTGGACCAGATTTGTGGCAGTCTGTGCGTCTCGTTGTGATGTAAGCCCATCATCGACGTAGAAGTCATTGTGGATAAATTGCTTCACGTCAGCCCCATGAGTAGATTCGCACTCGTCGGCAACCATTCTAAGACCGAATGTTGCTACAGCAGGGGATGAGATGCTGCCAAAGAGGTGGACGTTCATCCTGTATTCTACTGTTGGTTTAGTAGGGTCATTGTCGTCGAACCACAAGAAGCGCAGATAATCACGATGCTCTGTGTTGACGTAGAAATTATGGAACATGTGTTCCACATCCCCCATCACAGCAACTTCGGCTAGCCTAAATCGAAGGAGAATCCCCAACAGACTGTTCATCATGTCCGGCCCTTGGAGGAGTGCTTTGTTGAGGGAGATGCCTTTGAACTCCGCACTGGCGTCGAAAACCACTCTGATTTCCGGCTTTTTGGGATGATGTACGGCAAAGTGTGGAAGGTACCACACCGTCCCAGGAAGAGGGCACAGCTCATTCGCAGGTACTCGGCTGGCGTGGTTTCTGGTTAGGATCTTGTCAAAAAAGGCAATGTAGTCTGACATCATCTTTGGCTTACGACGTAGATTCTCCAAGAGGTTGTCTAGTCTGCTTTGGGCCTGAGGACGGTTGTTGGGCAGGTTTGGCTGATGTTGCTTGAAGGGTAGAGGGAACTCCAGGTTTCCATCTGAGTTGGTGTGGGCACCTTCTGTCAAGATGTCGAGAAAGTGCTGATCTTCGATCGACAGGGCCTTCAAGTCTCCTCTGGAGTTTCCATGTATATGTCCATTGGTGTGTTCTTGCGGGCTGATGAGAGCATATCTTTCACATAGAGGTGATTTTCACAGATATCTGGTCCATCAGGTTGTGGTTGAAGGATCGTGCGTTTGATGGAGGCGTGTACTTTCCCTTTGGCACCACTCATGCAAACTTGTCCAGAGACAGTCCAACCTAGGTCAGTACGTTGCGCCCATGGTGTTCCTCTAGGACCATTACGCGATTCTCGAACTTTCAGAGGCTCAGGGCAATTTCTTCCGACGAGAAGGATGATGTTGATGTCGTCTCGCACCTCTGGTATCTTTGCAGCAATTGGCCTGAGGTGGGGAAAGTTTTCACAGAGGTCAGGGTTTGGAATCTCGCTCCTGTCACCAGGAATGTAGGCATTGTCGATGACGGTAGGTAGCTGTTCAGTTTTCCCGTCTTGTGATTCAACAATCAGGCCACACGCTCGTCTTCCTTCCGATGTGATTTTGTTCCCTCCGCAGGTAGAAAGCTCGTACGGAAAAGCGGGGCCTGCAAGGTTGAGTGCTTCGAATACTTCTGGGCCTCCCAAACAGGCATTGGACTGGTCATCCAGCACTGCATAACCAAGGATGGAGTTTTTGGGATGATCCTTGTGGTAGATCTTGCAGAGAACAATCTTGGAGCAAGACCTTGCCGAGGAACAGGTCAAGAACCGGGTGCACTTCGTATTGGCAACTACATCCTTGTGGCTATTTGCTGGTTGCTTCTCGCTCTGTACCTCCCCCTCGTTCTGCTTCTGGTTGATATGCATGAAGGAGGCATGTTCGGTGCTTTTGCATTTTCTGCACTGCACTTTCGTTTCACACTCCTTCATTCGGTGGTTGGAACCGCACTTGAAGCACAGACCTCTGTCCATGCAGAACTGTCGTCTCTCTTGAATAGGTTTTCTGCCAAAGGCAATACACTCGGACAGACGGTGGCCTTGTATGTCGTGAAACTGGCACTTCTCTTTGGCTTGAACTGTTGACGCGGGTGCAGATTTTGTGGGTGTGGACATCACCAGGGGGCAGATGTAGATTTTGTGGGAGTGGAAATCGCTAGGACACGAAGAGAGGATCCGCGGCTCCTGTCTGTTCTCGGTTTCTCAGGAGTTGGATGGAGAATCTTGCTTGATGGGTACAGCTCTGGGTCGTTGTGTAGCCTCGCTTTTTGCTTCAAGAACTCGGCCAGCATGGTGAATGGAGGGTAGTTGCCTTTTGCCGTTTTGTGTTCTGAAGCACGCTTACGCCAAGCATTGTGGATGTATGTGGGCAACTTCTCGAGTATGGGATGCAGATTGTGCGCATAGTTGAGAATGTTCAGGTCAGGCAGGTCATTCATTTGGGCAGCAGCGTCTACACATAGATCGGCCAGTTCTTGGAGCTTGCGGTTCTCCTCAGCTTTGAATCTGGGGAAATCGATGAGCTTTCGGATGATTGCAGTGGTGATATTTGTCTTGTTGCCAAACCGCTCCTTCAGCTCTTTCCACGCTTCTTGATAGGCTGTCTCAGGGCTAGAAACGTAGCGATGTCGGAATCTATCTACCAGTTTCCTCACCTCCCCTTTGGTGTACTTTGCGAGAAAGGTAAGTTTCTGCGTAGCCGGTGTGTGGGCGTGGTTAACCATGGTTTTGAAGGCGCAGCGCCATGGTTGAAACATAATGGGATCTCCGTCATATACATCAGGCTCATGGGTAGGCTGCCGTTGACGAGCAAGAGTGTCCGATATCTCTCGAGTCAGATTAAGGAGAGGTTGTTCTCCATCGATTGGCGTTACAGGCAGGGGGGCATTGGTGTAGTCGGCGAAACGTCACCGGGTGTCGACGACAGGGTAACTGTCTGTTCAGCCGATGGCCGAAAGGAGGGGGTTGAGGCTTGAAGCTGGGAAGTCAGAGTTGCATCGACTACTTTGTCAGTTTGATTCAGAAACCGCAAGGCGTGGTCGTTGGAGGACTGATGTGGGGACGTTATGGACTCGCCTGTTGTGTCTTCTTGATCAGCTTGCTGGAAGGCGTCAGATTTGGCCTTCTCTATGGCTGCGGCTTGACGTGCACGGAGGATTTGCAGGTCCGCTTCGGCCGATGCCAATTTTGTTTGTTGTTCAACTTCTCGTCTCGCCAGATCAATCTTCTTTTCAGCTTCGCTGGTCATATGCAGAACTTTCATGTCAGCTGTGCGTTTGGCAATCACTTCTTCAAAAGCGGCATTTTGGGCAGCCGCTGCAGCGGCTGCAAGTGCATGTGCCTTTGCACTCTGGACCGATGAAGATGTTGACTTCTGGGATCGTCCGGAAGTACTGGGAAGTCTAGAAAAGCTAGACTGAGTCTCGAGGGCTATTTGGTACAATCTGTTGCCTCCCTGGGAAATAATGCAGTTTGCATAGTTGGCATTCTCGAGGAAAGTCATTTTCATACGGAGAGCGTCCTCTATGAATTCACCTGTCTGATCCTCTCTGTACAGTTGATCCAGCTTAGACCACGACTCAGTATACGATTGTAGTGCAGACCGTGTGCTGGAAAGGTTGTGAAGAATGACGGCTTGTTCTTCGAGGGCATCACTGAGGCTTTTGAGATTTTGTGAGGTTTTTCTCCAGTTCTGATGCAGGGTTTTCTCGGTTGTGATGATGTTATTGTACAGAGCTTTAGCTGTATGGTGTCTTTCCCTCTGGGGTCGATCATGAACATGTAAGTCCTCCATGAGTGGGTCCTGGTGTCGGGTTTCAAGTTCGGGGGAAACGAGGTCAGTCTCAAGGGCATCTGCCATGATGGGGATTGAGAATGTGCCTTGTGACGAACGGGAATTACTGAGGAGTAATTTGTAGCTCGTTCTTCACAGTAATTTCACTGTACTGGTTTCGGTATTAGGTGTAGCCCGGGAGGCGATAACATAAACTCCACCAGCTAGTGTCAACCACGATTAAGAATGCAAAATGGCCGAAGGTCAGGGCTTCAGATTCCACTTGATCTTTAATGCGCGGTGAACTGTTAACAAGATAAAAACGATACAAAACTACTAAATATCTGGCAAAAGTCCAAAACATGAACAGGTTCGAGGAAAATACTGTAAAGTTCGGTCTACATGAAGTAAACAGAGATAAACTGGGAAAGTCAATCTAAAAAACACTCAAATAGTGAATACGGGCTGTAATCCCCACTTCACAGTAACGTTCAGCAACTTCTCATTCTAAGGTTAAATGTAACGATAGCTTAACATAAAAAAAACCCTATCAATGTGGTAGCGAAATATAAGTAAATTATTTCAGGCACAAGAAAATCTAATGACTTATTAATCATACAAAGACTCTAGGTGTCTATAATATCACTTGAAGTATCCATGAGTAGTCAAAAGTTCTAAATACTTGAGTGAATTAAGGCAAAATTACATGTACGTATGTAATCAAAGAAAGTCAGATCTCTTGGCTCAAAAAATCACTAGAAAATCACTTACATTACTGTGGTTCTTGAGAGTCAAATTAAGAGGCTTAAAAGTACATCTCAGGAGGGTCTAACTTCTCAAAGGTTGTAAAAACTATCAGCTGTAGGTCTTAAAATCTAGAAAATGCTTGAACTAAAACAAAGGTGTCGGGAATGCAAGCAGCATGGTATTTGATCTGGCTGTTCCTATGTAAGTCGAACAGCGCCCTCAAGTGATGGGACTGGAGGAAAGGGCGCCATCGTGTGGCTGGGGTGTATAAGGGAACAATGACCTTCACACAAGAGGACGAAGGCAGTTGGAGTGTCTCTCGGATCTTGGAATAGCGCAATACGCAGGGTGTGACATCAGGATTAGGATCGACCAATCAGGATCGAGGATTCAAGTTTACTTGAAGATAATATTAGTTATCCCGGGAGCGCGAGTGGATTACGGAATGATGTAGTGCGTCTGTGTCCCACTACATTATCCGTGTTCCACGAATGCGAGTGTGATAAGGAATTTATCTTTATGCAAAGTTGACGCGCAGTACAGTTGGATCGAGCACAATTTACACGAACATTTCAGCGGTGTAGCGCATGCAGCTGGAATGTCGCTCGCTTCTTGGAAAAGCGCAATACGCAGGGCGCAATATGGACCGTGCAATACAGCCTCATATCACACTGTTGTTGCCATGGATCGACCAATCAGGATGGAGGATTCAAGTTTGCATGAAGACAATTATTTATCAGGCTTCTAGTGGTAAAAATAAATCAGCGTATTGTAGGCTTTCGTAAAAAGATCCCGGATGATATATCAAATATTATTGAAATCATTCGGATACTTTATTGATATAGCATTGATATTGTAGTCCTCCGGGCATTTGTTATAGCTTGTACAATATATTCTTGAATCCCTCTCAAAGCCATTCAATATTATATAATTACTTATAACACATAAAGAAATCGTACATTGACGCAGTGTTACACAATTATGTATTTAATTACAATGATGATAGTACTAGCGTGATGATAAACGGTGCAGCCAATACTTTGTACTTTCGTCATCTTCGACACACAAAACCTGAAACAAAAACCAAGCACTACGACATACATGACAACGAGACTGTAGAAGACCATAAACATAAACATTTAAAAGGACTATTTAACGTTTGTTCAAAACGTTCAATGACATCAACCAAACTTAGAGTTTGATCATCTAGTTCTTAGTAGGTATTTAAGAAAAATCATGAATGTTTCCTTGACGAGAAAGAAAATGTAAACTCATTTCGTAGAATCCTCTGAAATGTGACAACTCTGACGTAGTTTGATTTTAAAACCACTAATCCATCAACAAATTTCACAACAGGTGATTTACCACTTGTCCCCACGACCGACCAAATGACCACTACAGAAGCAATGGAAGAGCTATCCACAAGTGAACAAATGACCGAAGTTGCAACAACAAGTGCCTTAGTCCAGCAAACGTCCACAGGAGCAACACTTGAATTAACGTCCACCGGTGGAACAGCGGCCCAGATATCCACTACTGTCCAAGAAAGTGGGATTGCAACTACAGGTGCCTTAGTCAACCAAACATCCACAGGAGGAACACTCGAGCTATCTACCAATACCCATGTCTCTGGGATGGCAACAACAGATGACCGTATCGACGAAACATCCGCTACAGAAGCAACACCTGGGCTATCAACTCCAACTACAACAAACGGAGGGGATGGAGTAGACGGTGGGATTGCAACAACAGACACAATGATCGACCAGACATCCGTTACAGAAGCAGCTTCGGAGCTATCAACTGTTGAGCGAGTCACTAGCGTTATGTCAACGGATACCTCGATCGTCCAAACATCTACTGCAGCAAACGAAGGGGATGGAGGAGACGGAGGAATTGCAACCACAGACGCAATGATCGACCAGACCTCTACTGCAGATAGAGGGAATGGAGGGGACGATGGGGAGTCGTCCACTTCACCATCAATGGCTGTTACTGAAGGTAAGATATTAAATCCAGTTGCATGCAAGCTTGTTGTCGAGCCATTACAAGATCATCACTATTGCATTACAGTCACAAGCGACAAAATCAATATTTTTGCATTGATGGTTTCGATTACAACAGTACCTCATGAAAGTTATATGTAAAATGAATACATATCAAGGTAGTTTATTGGTGCGAAAAATGTGGTAAACAGAGTAGGAATCCATTTCAAGTGCGCCTTTTCAACCAAACATCCACAGGAGGAACACTCGAGCTATCTACCAATACCCATGTCTCTGGGATGGCAACAACAGATGACTGTATCGACGAAACATCCGCTACAGAAGCAACACCTGGGCTATCATCTCCAACTACAACAAACGGAGGGGATGGAGGAGACGGAGGGATTGCAACCACAGACGCAATGATCGACCAGACCTCTACTGCAGATGGAGGGAATGGAGGGGACGACGGGGAGTCGTCCACTTCACCATCAATGGCTGTTACTGAAGGTAAGATATTAAATCCAGTTGCATGCAAGCTTGTTGTCGAGCCATTACAAGACCATCACTATTGCATTACAGTCACAAGCGACAAAATCAATATTTCTGCA